GTCATACATGTTGATGGTATCTTTGAATGAGACAAAGAATATGTTGAGTAGCCATTTTGATATGAAAGACCTTGACGATACTTCTGTTATTCTAGGTATCCAGATATGTTGTGATAGGTCTCGTGTTACTCTTAGATTGTCTCAGGGTACATTGATAGGATCCTCAAGAGGTTTAATATGTATTTTTGCTCTCCATGTGTTGAACCTGTTCAAAGGGGTAAGAAACTCTCTAATTTTTAGTGTCTTCATGGTGATAGAGAGTTGTTTAAAATGGAGAAAGTTTCATATGCTTTTGCTATTGGGAGTTTGATGTGTGCTTAAGTATGCACTTATCCCGATATTGCTTATGTTGTTAATGTTTTGGGCAAATACTTGAGCAACCCATGTTTGAGTCATTGGAAAGTCGTGAATAAGGTCTTGAGATATTTGCAGGGAACCAAAGATTACATGTTGACTTATGCGAAGTTTGATCAACTTCAGGTCATTGGATACTCCAATTTTGTAGGTTGCCCTGACGACCGTAAGTCTACTTCAGGCTTTATTTTTATGATGGCGGGAGGAGCTGTATCTTGGAAAAGTGTCAAATAGATAGTTATAGCTACTTCTACTATGAAAACAAAGTATGTCGCTTGTTATGAGGCTACACGCTAGGCTATGTGACTAAAGAATTTGATTTCTGGCTTCCGCATTATTAACAGTATATTTAGGCTACTTGTAATTTATTGCGATAATACTGCTGCTATACTTCTCTCTTAGAATAATAAGAGTTCTACTCGTTTGAAACACTTTGATCTAAAGTATTTGTTTGTTAGAGAGAAAGTACTTGAGTTTTAAACTCAAATTGTGTACATTGTTACAAAGAACATGTTCGCATATCCACTAACCAAAGGCTTAATCATTAGAGCTTTTTAGAATCATGTAGCTCATATGAGTCTGGTCAAGTCTTTTGATATTTTGGATTAATGGAAGTTAAATTTTGTATTTGTTTGTTGACATTATTATCTAATTTCTTTATGAGATATATGTTTTGTTGACGTCACTTTTATGACAATCTTTTTATACTTGGACCTTTGTGGAAATGATATTTATGTTTCCTTTATCTATATTGTGATTGGAATATAAGTTGCTTGTAGTATGTAATGTATATCCCTATCGGATATAATTGTATACTATCGAGAGCTTATTATTTCTTTGGTGATAATTAATAACTTGTTACGACAACATAGTTTGTGGACTTAGTAATTTAATAATGCTATCCAAGTGGGAGAATGTTAGATTTTTTAACATTAATATTAATATTTATATTAATTTATGGATTAGCATTATTAAATTATTATGGTTATATTGTTATTAATTATGACGTAAAATAAATGTGTATAATAATAATAATAATTATTATATAGATTTTGTAATTGGGCTCTTAGTGTGAATAGTACGTGATGGGTTGGACTATTCTATGTGCCCAATAAGAGGTTCCTGCTCTCATCTGATTAGGCTTATATAACTGTTGCCCCATTAGACAGTTACGTATAATAGCAATCAGATAAGAGAGTAGTACACGCTCACTCAAAACAAGGATTGCTTATGACTCATGGTTCTCATCGGGATCGCAATTATTCAATTATATATAGTTGAAATTGTATTGAGTTGTTATGATGTGTATTATATATAATTGTGTTATCTTTAATTTTATATTTAAAATTCCTGCAATCTCATGTAAGCTTCTAACTATCTAGCTCCAGTCATTTATGCAATGTCAAATCAATAATCTTAGGTGTGTTTTTGAGGCCTTTAACTGCAATCGTTCACATGACACAGAATCAATCGCCCTCCAGCCTGATGTGGTTGCTTAGTAATAGTACTAATACGAGATTTGAAGGTCTTCTAGGTATTTGACTGCAAAAATCTGCTTGATATCAAATCAATGGCCCCCAATTTGGTGTGATCGCTAGATGAATTTTGAAGATCATTTAGATATTTGACTACAGTTAGTTGTTTGTCACCATATTATAACGAATCATATTAAATTACCATTTTTTAATTTGATCTAATAATTTCTTTTTACCATTCTCTAAAGTTGAGAGTCCTACCCTATAAAATATATTTTTAGATAGCATACTTGCTTGCATAAATGTAAAGTATTAAAAATTTAAATATATAATAGACAAAATTAGTATTTTTGGTTTGTTGTCTTTAATTTTAAAGTAGATTTTGATTTTGTCTTTTTTTTATTATTTACTTTAGCACTTTAACTTTTGTAAAAATTTAAAATAGGTCTTTTTTCGTTAAAATTTTATTTCTATTAAAAAAATTGTTCTTTTATATCATGTGTATTATGCAGTATTATTAATTATCTTTTTTCTCATATTTTCTTGCCATCGACTACTAAATACTCATCTAAAATCTCAAATTATAAAAAAAATTAACTTTTTTAAATATTCATTTTCTATTTTTAACAGATCTGTGTTTATTTTCATATTATGCTTTGAGCTTTTAGAACACAATATTCTTATCAGTGAAGGCTTCAAAGGTCATGATAGCATAAAAAATTAATAAAATGAAAACATGAATATTTGTATGTTCAGATATGTCGGAGATGACAAATGGGTATTATAAAGTTAGGTTATTTATAATTTGAGATTCAGAGGTGATTACTTGGTATTGGTAGTAAAAAGATGAGGTCTTGAGTATAAAAAAATAAAGATAAAAGGGAAGAAAAAGAAGAAGAAGTGCTAGAGATAATGTCAGAGATATGAAAAAAAAAGACAATAAACAGTACTGCACAATACATGTGATACAAAATGACAATTTTTTTTTAAAAGAAATTAGAATTTTTAACCAAAAAAAAAACCTATTTGAAACTTTTTTAAATTTTAGAAGATTAAAATGAATAAAGTTTAAATCTACCTCAAAGTTAAAGGATGAAAATATTAATTTTACCTATAAAATACTATCAAGAATAAAGCTATCAACAAAAAAATGTTTAAAAAATGTAGAATAAAATATATTTCATTTTCATTTTAATAAAAAGGTAATAAAGTAACTTCTTACAATCATAAAAGTTGTAAAATTATTAACTTTAACTCTATATACCATTTTCACAAATATAACAAAAATTTCATAACTTTGAATAATAAGAATTTGATAGAATACTTTCTCAGTTTCATCTAAACGTCATTCATTCTCTTAAGCATACTAAGTAATAAATCTAGTTTGTAGCATATGTATCTTTTACTTTTCATGCATCTTTTGATTTTTAACAAAGATAAATTTCTTCCTTCGAGTATTACGCATAACTATAGATTGCTAATGAAGTTTAAACCATTAATTTAGCATAATATCTATTTTTTAGTCCTGTATGATAATTTTTTCAGCTAAAAATTGTGTTTTGGCCAATTTATTTATTTATTTTTAGCTAATATTCATTCATGTGACTAATTAAATGTATCTAATGATTGTCAAATACATATAGAGGCTACTAAAGACAAGCTTGCTGGATATGCTATATTTCTCTACACTTTAATATGCTTCTTGCTTCGGTTATTCCTCACATGGCCTCATGGATACAAGATAAAATTCATGGTTGAGTGTTATATGTGATCTTCAAAACATCAAATTTAGGAGGTAACAATTCCAAAATCTTCTAAATCAAATGACTATCATCAATTTCAAGTTTTATTGTCTTCAACTTTGTGCAATAGTGCACCATTTTTAACATCTGCATGAATCCTACTCACACATGTTAAAAAGTGAAAAATAATGACTTTTATGAGCTTTGTAAAAAGTCAAGAACTTATTTTTAAGAGACTTCAGAAAAATCTTAACATCTTTACTCTTTAGAATATTCTAACAAATGAACTTCTAATAGTTAATTTAAATGCCATTAAATACTAATTTGAGTATTCTCACTTATTCCAGGATAAGGATGATATTTAATGACAAAAGCAACAGAGGAATGATATTTTTCAAAAAGAAGATGAAGGATGTTGAGAGAAAGCAAGAGATGTTTAAAGAAAGAGAAATACTAATAATATTATTCTTAACCTATTCTTAATTATTAGCTAAAATTTATCAAATACAATAAAAATTATTTAAGATTCATTTTTTTATTTTTAATTTAATGTTTCTCATAGTATTTTTTTTAATAAATTTTAATTAATAATTAAAAGTGTGTTAAAAGAGTGTGTCATCTTTAACACATATACTAGCAAGAATATGTAACACACTTTTTTTAATATATTTTTAATTATTAACTAAAATTTATTTAAAAATATAAAATTTATGTGAGTCTATTTTTTAATTTTTATTTAATATTTTTTCATATTTTTATAAATTTTTAATAAATAAAAAGAGATAACAATAATTTCGGAAAGAAAAAAAAGGTGTAAAAGCAATGTTGATCACTTTTTATTTTGAGTTCTCTTTACGTTCTTCTGAGCCAAGGAAACTCGGGGGAAAAAAAAAACGACAAACTTAAACAAAAAGCAAAGTGAGCCGAAAACAGAAGTACACTTTCATCTCGGAAACTCCGACACTTGACATATCGCACTGAAAGATAACGTTAACATTATCTCAACTCAAACCTTATCAGTTTCCCCATCTGGACTCTGATGCACAAGGCTTTTTAAAAACACACACACACACACACAAATTCTTTATATTCTTAAGTATTAATTAATTACTCAAGACAAAAGAAAAAAAATATGCTCACAAAAAATTATTTACATGAAATAATCTTATTCAACTTCCGTAAAATTATCATGAATAATAAAGTTGTTTTCAAATACTACTGTATATTCAAAACCTTTAATCATATATTTATATTAATAATAATATTTTTAAATAAAAAATTATCATTATTTTATTATTATCAGCAGATACAAATAAAAGAATCAATTATTTTATTAGTAGTCACTGCTGCTTATTATTATACTTCATATAACTGCTATCTTATATTTTATTTCATGAAGCATTTATTTATTAATATTAAGATTTTTGAGAATGGATGTTGGGATAAATGTTTGTGTGTTTGTGCTTTGAGGTCACAGGTGTCGGTGGTGGTGTACTAATGTCAGTGGCGTTGTCTTTTTCGCCTTCTTAAAGCCTTTCCCTTTCTCTCTTATTCATTTCCAGCTAGCTAAACACATACCCACATAGCCATAATCACTCTCACAAACAAAAAGTTTCAAACTTTCTTTCTGGGTATAGAGAGAGAGAGAGAGAGAGAGAGTTCTCCGTTGCTTATGTCTTTCTCTTCCACTGATTTTCATTTCTTGTTGGGAATTTGCTGAACTGTGGGGTGGCTTTGTTTTTTCAATTTGGGAGCTATCAAGTTTGGAAATTTGTTTTGTTTGGCTTCATTGCTTGAGAATTCATGCGGGTTTGTTCAGATTTTGAGTGATCTGTCTGTTTTCAGTGACAACTGGTGGAAAAATTGTTTTTTTTTGGTAAGTTTTGAGTGCATGTGCAATTTTATTGTGCTTGGTTGGGAAAATTGAGAAATTCTACTTTCGACAAAACCAAAGTTGGGATTTGAGCAATGGCCGTTGTTTCTGAAGTAGATAACAGTTCACTGTTGATCAGGAGAGAATCTCTAAGAAAAATAATTTTTTTTTTGCGCTAGGAAAGTGCTTTATTTTCTCAGCCATACATAAAGAAGATTTCACTTTTAAAATATGACCCTCGTTCATTTTCATCCAACTTTTTTCTCAGCAGCCAAACAAACTAAACAAAAGATGGGATCAGAATTTTTTTTCCACTTTCTTAGCTGTTAACAATGCTTGTTAACATGTCTTAGACTGATCATAGATTCAATTGTTCTTCTCAGCTATCGAAAAGTGTAGAAAGCTTCCGAGTAATGAGTGTGGCTTGAACTAACATTTAATCCCTTGTTGACTTCCGAGAAGAGTTAAGTAGAGGGCCCTATGGAGTCAGAAGGGGAAGTTGGGGTGAGTAAAAAAACATTCTTTTTTATTTGTTCAAATGTTCTGTGATGTTATTGGGGTGCAGTTGTTGGTTGGTTGATGCTTGATGATGACATTTTTTAATACACTTAACTTTCCATTATTCAGGCAAAGCCAGTGACAGCATTGGGTGGCCAAGTGTGCCAGATCTGTGGTGATAGTGTTGGGAAGACTTTGGATGGTGAACCATTCATTGCATGCGATGTTTGTGCTTTCCCTGTGTGCAGGCCTTGCTATGAGTATGAAAGGAAGGATGGGAATCAGTCTTGCCCACAGTGCAAAACCCGGTACAAGAGACACAAAGGTAAATGAAGCTAAACTAGTATGTGTTTTCTGTCATTTGTTATTTTTCACCATCCTCGATTCACACAATGCAACTTGGGGAGGTGCAAAAGACTTTTCATAAATGGAATATCAACAAGTCGGGTGACATGTGGATTGAAATCGGTGCTTTGGCCTTCTATTTGGCCTAAAGCACATGGTCTGTAAAGGGCTTAACCCAACAAGTTGCAATGTTGTGATATACTTTCTTGGAAGCAAATTGACCAACTTTCAGTGAACCAGATGAGAGAACATATCCTTTTTTGCTTTAAGAGCATTTACTCAATGGACTACTGGATTGGAGCTATTGTGACTTTAGCTACAGGGAAATTCCTGAGATTAGATTAAACAAAGCGTGTAACGACAGTACACTCTAGTAGTGAACAAGCGAGGCAGTGTTGGTTATGTGTAGACTACATTCATGCTGTTACTATTTACTAGAGTGTTTCCATTTTCTTCGAGCCAAATCCGCTAAGTGGATGGATGGATAGTTTATAGAGGATTACATTTATATGTTGTCAACTTTTCCAGTTGTTGTACCTATAAATAATTGATTTTAATTATCTTTGTGACTTCAATTTCCTGATCAAGTGGACTGGCATTGCTGTTTTCCTTTCAAAAAATGGATCAGTGGATTTTGGGAGGAGGAACTGGATTCTTTGTGATTGACTTATTATATGCTCATTTTTTCCCCATATTGTGTACAATAGGTAATCATAAAATGCTTAGATTAAGACTTTTGTTTCCCTCGTTTGCATCTCATATTACAAAATACTTCTGGTTTTGTCATTAGGATTTTATAGCTGCAAGTATGTTAATTATGCACACTACATATTTTGCATGATGTCATGTGATCTGCAATCTCTGGTCAATATTTATATAACTTTTACTTTATGACTTCAATTAGTGATCAAACTGCTAATTTAAATGATTCCAGGAAGTCCTGCAATTCTTGGAGATGGTGAAGAGGATGGTGCTGCTGCTGATGGTGCCAGTGACTTCAATTATGATTCAGAAAATCACAACCAAAAGCAGAAGATTTCAGAGCGCATGTTGAGCTGGCAATTGACATATGCACGAGCAGAGGAGGTCGGCGCACCAAATTATGACAAGGAAGTTTCTCACAACCACATTCCTCTGCTGACCAGTGGACATGAGGTCATTCAGTTAGCTTCCTATATGATAGTCTTCATCTCCCCCACCCTTCACAAAGTCCATTTTCTAATAAAATTTCTGGTCTCTGAATGAAAATTGGTATTTCTTCAATTTCAGGTCTCTGGAGAGTTGTCTGCAGCCTCACCTGAGAGGCTCTCTATGGCATCTCCTGCAGTTGGTGGTGGAAAGCGTGTCCATAATCTCCCATATTCATCTGATGTTAATCAATCTCGTATTTCTCTAACCCTGCTTACTATGCACATTCTCAGCTATCATGCTTTATGGTTGCTAATTTATCAAGCATCTTATTGTGATTTGATGTCCTTGGTTATATTCTTGTGCAGCAAACATTAGGGCTGGGGATCCAGGATTGGGCAATGTAGCATGGAAAGAACGAGTTGATGGCTGGAAAATGAAGCAAGAAAAGAATGTTGTTCCAATGAGCACTGGCCAAGCTGCTTCAGAAAGAGGAGCTGGAGATATTGATGCTAGTACTGATGTGCTTGTGGATGATTCCTTGTTGTGAGTATTTTCTTTATTTATTTGTAAGAACCAGTGATGCTCTATTTGTATTGCCAGCTTCTTTACTCATTTCTCTGTTGGTATTGAGTGCCTCTTTTCAAAGTCATGTATGATTCATACCATATTTATTCTTATTCTATTTTTTTCTTTAGTTTGGAATCTAATATGGTAATATATATGATGGTTGTCATCAGGGGAGCATTTGGTAAATAAAACTCCTTGTAAGAAGTTATTTGTAGTTTTATTGTTGAATAAGCAAAATCAATAGATTACGTCCTCAATTTTTTTTTAATACAGGAATGATGAAGCTCGACAACCTCTTTCCAGGAAGGTTTCTATACCATCATCCAGGATAAATCCATATCGTATGGTCATTATTTTGCGGCTGGTTATCCTCTGCGTTTTCTTGCATTATCGAATAACAAATCCTGTGCCCAATGCATATGCATTGTGGTTGGTATCAGTTATATGTGAGATTTGGTTTGCTATATCTTGGATATTGGATCAATTCCCTAAGTGGCTTCCTGTAAACCGCGAAACATATCTTGACAGGCTTGCACTGAGGTAGAGCCTCTCCAAACTTAACCATTCTTCTGTACAAGAAAATCATGATATTTGGCAAATAGTTATTCTATTTCAATATGATGTTTTGATACAAACAAAATTCCTGTGAATTACAGATATGACAGGGAAGGAGAACCATCACAGCTAGCAGCTGTTGACATTTTTGTCAGTACTGTTGACCCATTGAAGGAGCCCCCACTTGTGACTGCCAATACTGTACTATCTATTCTTGCAGTTGACTACCCAGTGGATAAGGTCTCCTGCTATGTGTCTGATGATGGTGCTGCTATGTTGACATTTGAAGCACTTGCTGAGACTTCTGAATTTGCAAGGAAATGGGTTCCTTTTTGCAAGAAATATACTATTGAACCCCGTGCACCAGAGTGGTACTTTGCACAGAAGATTGACTACTTGAAAGATAAGGTTCATCCATCATTTGTCAAGGATCGTAGAGCAATGAAGGTAAGAGATTGGCTTATAAATGGATTACTCTGCTGGCTGGGCATGCATTTGTGCTACTTGTATGTGTGTTGGATTTCATTAGGGTATCTTTTAATATTACTTTTCTTTTGTCTCAGAGAGAATATGAAGAATTTAAAGTTCGTGTTAATGGACTTGTTGCAAAGGCTCAGAAAGTTCCTGAAGAAGGATGGGTGATGCAAGATGGTACTCCATGGCCTGGAAATAACACCAGAGACCATCCAGGAATGATTCAGGTTGGTGGATATCTTGTGATGAATACAACTTACTACCTGATGTGCTTCATTTATTAGCTTTAGAGTCATTTCTTAATTTTTTTTTCTTAGATAAGAGTACATGTTAAAATGTTAAAAGTGGTGAAGTCATGAGGGCAAGCTTTATGCCATGGTACTGTTCACTAAGATTGCATTTTATACCTGTAGGTTTTCTTGGGCCAAAGTGGAGGACTTGACTCTGAGGGTAATGAACTTCCACGTTTAGTCTATGTTTCTCGTGAAAAGCGTCCAGGTTTCCAACATCACAAAAAAGCTGGTGCGATGAATGCACTTGTGAGTGTCATTTACAATATTAAATGTGGAAGTTACTTATCTCCGCACATGTACCCAGACATAGTCATCCCACTGCTGGTGATTTATGTAACTTGCAGGTTCGAGTATCTGCAGTCCTAACCAATGGACCTTTCTTATTGAATCTCGATTGTGATCACTACATAAACAACAGCAAGGCCTTGAGGGAAGCTATGTGTTTTATGATGGATCCCAACCTTGGTAAACATGTCTGCTATGTCCAGTTTCCGCAGAGGTTTGATGGTATTGATAGGAATGATAGATATGCCAACCGTAATACTGTTTTCTTTGATGTGAGTACTACCATATTCATCTAATTTTTGTTATCTAATTTCTATTGCTGTTTTATTTTTGTGTGGCCTATATTAAGTTTAATAATCTCTGTGTGATATGTTTTTGGTTTTGACACTTGCTGAACAGATAAACTTGAGAGGTTTGGATGGCATTCAAGGTCCTGTTTATGTGGGTACTGGATGTGTCTTCAATAGGACAGCTTTGTATGGTTATGAACCTCCTGTTAAACCCAAACATAAAAAGCCTGGGTTGTTATCATCTCTCTGTGGTGGAAATCGGAAGAAGGGTGCAAAATCTAGTAAGAAAGGATCAGACAAGAAAAAGTCTAGCAAGCATGTTGACCCAACTGTGCCTATCTTCAGTCTAGAGGATATAGAAGAAGGAGTAGAAGGTAGGACTTATCAATTTAATGTTTGGATGAGCCTTTTTTCAGGGAAATAATTTTTTTTTTTTTTTTACTTAAGCTTCCTCAGGAAGATGCAAAAATAAGCAATTATTTCTTCAAAATAAACTGAACAAAACATGCACTTAAGAAGATTGTGATTTTCTATTTCTGGAAAGACCTGTTACTTGCTTTCCTACTTCTATGAGAGATTCAAATCTGCTTCCTATCTTAAATTGACTGCCTCTTCTTGTAATTGTGTTTACTTCAAATGTTTATATTCATACTTTTCTACTCTAAAAGCTCTTCAGGGTATCGATTTAGCTATTGATTTTTAGTTGCTCTCAATTAATTAGACCTTTCATTCTCTTACACCTTTAGGTACTGGATTTGATGATGAGAAATCACTACTCATGTCACAAATGAGCCTTGAGAAAAGGTTTGGTCAGTCTGCTGTTTTTGTTGCCTCTACACTAATGGAAAATGGTGGTGTTCCTCAGTCTGCTACTCCAGAAACTCTTCTTAAGGAGGCTATTCATGTTATCAGCTGTGGTTATGAGGATAAAACAGAATGGGGAACTGAGGTGTGTTGTTATCTTATGTTTAATGTTCTTGGATGTTTTTTGATAAACAAATCGGTAAGTGTACCAAATCGTTTGCAGAAACAAAATAGATTTTATCGTTCACTGGAATTAATGTTAATTACCAAACCATAATAATCTCGCTAGTTGGATTGAAAAATAGAGTATGAACTTAAACGGGAAATTTAGATATTGTGCAGAAAGTGAAGGTAAGCTATAAGTGCTGGAAAATTAAATTAACATTAAGTGTAAAAGTTAGGTGTAAGAAATTAATTGTAAATGGAGATTGGAGCTAAGTGCCAGAATGTAACTAAATAAGAAAATGAAAATTGAGTTGTAAATTGATTAAGAAGCGGGTTGAGTTCAGAATCCCTTAATCCTTTCCTATTGCATAAAAATATGTAACCCATAATACAGTCTGATCTAATGGTCAGATTTTCTACAATACACAATACCAATTCCTTGTTTGATTGGTTCTAAACCAATTCTAGATTCATAATTACTTAAGTAACCAAGAAGATGATTAATATTAAAATTAGAAATCAACAAGACCACACCATTATAGATTCTTATTCCTAGACAATCCATAATGAGCAATTTAATCTAAATCCAAGAAAGATTACAACTTTCTAGTTATAAGTTTCTTTTCATCAATTCTGAGTTCTAAGAAACAGGGAAGCAATAAGATCAGAATTAAATGTTAGATTACAAACTACATTTGAGTTATATTCAATGTTCAGTTCATTGCAATGGACAAAAGATTAAGTTTATCTTTTCTCAACTCCAATAAATTTAGCAAGACATAACAGAAATAAAGAAAAAAAAAACTAAAATATATTGCAGATTTAAACTTTATGTTCAACTTAACAGGAAATTACAGAAAGATATAGATGTAGGAATCATTGTTTCATTACAAAGCAAAAGGAATGGAGGGGTGAAACCTTACTTCCTATCAAAATTCCATAGAAAAGCAAAGGAGTAATGGAATGAAAGACATTCGTACACAGAGATGTACAGAAATCTTAAAATTCTTAGTCTCAAAAGTGTAATAAAAGGCGCCGCATTTAGCAGAAATTTCTATTTTTATATGCTTTGTCAGGCTCGTGTCCTCACATTCAATTATGCATGTGCCTACAAATATTTTCTGTATCAATTCAACTTCTTCTCTTTAAATCCAATTGCTAACTATCAATAATTGAACAATTAATTGCACTAACTTAAATCATTTATGCAATGAAATGTGTCATAAGTATTCAATTTACAACATGAGTCAATGACTCATCATTTTTGTTCCCAGTCACTTTCTAATTCCATCAAATCAGCAGAATATTGCCAACAAATTAGTGCATTCCAATAAATTTGAGTATAAACTAGGCACAAACTTCCCTAAATGTTATTTTACATGGAAGGCATCCAAGTGGACCTTTTATGATTTGTCAAATCAAGAATTGCTTGTGATGCTATCATCGCTTTGATTTTTGTTGAGGATTTTCCTAATTATTTTTCTTGTTAAAGTGCTTTTAAAAGGCCAAGGGGTTTGAACATCTGAAAAATGTTAGGTCTTGCGTGAGGCATAAATTTTTTCCCATCTTTTTCTTATTGGATTTATTGAGATGAAAAAGGATGAGGATCATAGAATTTTACCTGGATCCCACTTTTCAGAAAGCATGTAAATGTGTGGGAATACTATGAACCATTCAGTCTAACATACCATTCCTAGAAAAGCGACCTTTGCCTTTGCAAGCAACTGGTTTGTTAAAACATGATTTAACATGCATATGGCAGACTCATTTTTTTGGTGTCCCCACATTTGGATTAAGCATTTTTACACAGAATATTGGTGCCCACAATGACCACTATTATTAGAAAAAAGGGATGCGTTTATATAATTATCTTAAAAGATAATTCACAATTTGTTTTTTGTTCCACAGATAGGATGGATTTATGGTTCCGTCACAGAAGATATTCTTACAGGATTTAAGATGCATGCCCGTGGTTGGCGGTCAATATACTGCATGCCTAAGCGCCCAGCATTTAAAGGTTCTGCTCCTATCAATCTTTCGGATCGTCTAAACCAAGTACTTCGATGGGCTTTAGGTTCTGTGGAAATTCTTCTAAGTCGACACTGTCCCATCTGGTATGGTTATGGTGGAAGGCTAAAGTGGCTTGAAAGGTTTGCATATGTGAACACCACAATCTATCCGGTCACTGCCATTCCCCTTCTCATGTACTGTACCTTACCTGCTGTCTGTCTTCTGACCAACAAGTTCATTATTCCGCAGGTTTGTTGTTTCTTCATAAATGTAGTAAATCATGCAGTAGTGCCACTGGATGAATAAATCATGAGAATATTGTGCATCAAGTTGATGCTTGAATATTTCTAAAGGGATGATGCTTCATGGGAGAATTGCAGATTAGGATATGCTAGTGAATTACATCCGATTTAGTATTATTAATTGTGCCAATGATTGAGGACATTCACTCATGGCTAATATTATATTACTCTTGATTAATCATTCATGAATCACAACCAACATGATCTTGTGAAAATTGATACTTCTGATGGGAAATGCACAAGTTGAACTCAATTTGGTCAGGTCTTATTATGTAAGACGATGTTCTAACTTATCTTTTATTAATGTTGCAGATCAGTAACATTGCAAGCATATGGTTTATCTCTCTCTTTCTTTCCATCTTTGCGACTGGAATCCTGGAGATGAGGTGGAGTGGTGTTGGCATTGATGAATGGTGGAGGAATGAACAGTTTTGGGTTATTGGCGGTGTCTCATCACATCTCTTTGCTGTGTTCCAAGGCTTACTCAAAGTGCTTGCTGGAATTGACACCAACTTCACTGTGACTTCCAAGGCATCAGATGAAGATGGAGACTTTGCAGAACTCTACATGTTCAAATGGACAACCCTTCTCATTCCCCCCACAACCCTTCTCATAATAAACTTGGTTGGGGTTGTCGCTGGCATTTCCTATGCCATTAACAGTGGTTACCAATCATGGGGTCCCCTCTTTGGTAAGCTTTTCTTTGCATTTTGGGTTATCATCCATTTATACCCTTTCCTCAAAGGTCTCATGGGACGCCAGAATAGAACACCAACCATTGTGGTGGTTTGGTCCATTCTCCTTGCATCCATTTTCTCTCTCTTATGGGTCAGAATTGATCCCTTCACCACAAGAGTGACTGGTCCTGATGTTGAGGAGTGTGGCATTAACTGCTAGACCAAAAACAAGTATATTGTGTTTTGGCTTGTAATTATAGTTATTGTAGCTTTTGTATTTGTTTGTTATGTGTCAATTGTGTGCAGTTTATAGCAATACATGAGAAAACAAAGTAGAACTAAACTGTGACATTGTTTTATTTGTAATACTAACGTGTCTTCCAGTTTTCTGGAGTAGCTATGTATTATAAGCTATTTGGAGGATCACATTTTGTATATATCAGTGTTTTTTGTGATTTAGTTGGTAACTTTTTGCGTCTACATACACTTTGGTATATGTTTGAGTTTTGACACAATTTTGATCATGTTAGTACTAATTCTGGAAATTTTTTTTTTTCCTAAATAGCATTATCAAGTTTCCTCAGATTGACAAAAGTTGTGTAAAATGAACTGATTCGAAAGATTTTTATTTTTATTTTTGGCTCATTGTACTGTCTTTTCCTTTCTTTTATTTTTTGTTTTGGCTCAATGGCTCATTGTATCAATAAATTTCATGGATCAGCTTATTGAATAGTATTTAATTTTATTCAAATGTAGTTTAATGATCAATTGTTAAGGATACAAGTTTGTCACTAGGGGTGTTTAATACTGATTTAAACTGTTCTATACGGTTAAACTCTTCAAAAATATCAAAATGGAATACATCGTTAATCCAAAAAAGTGCAATTATTTTTTGTGGGTTGATTAAGTTTTTAGTTCCTATTCTCAAAATTGAACTAAATTAAACTGCAAATATATTAATCTTAGGAGAGTGTTAGGGTGCCTAGATATTTGAAGGGGCATGAGTGCCCTTCTTATTTTGTTTAATAGTTTTCATCCACGTTTATCTATATTTAATTGTTTATTTGAAAGAACTATTAGTAAAAACAGAGGTTGCAGAAACCGAGTAACCACAATGTAGTTACTATCCGAATCATATTGAGACGTCAAACAACATGCTTCACTTTGAATATTTCATGGCAGTGAGTGACGAGAGATTAGAATGGAACAATACATTTGACTATGTACACCTTCAAATTGCATAAATGTTAGCAAATTGTTGGATTCAAGTTCTCAAAACAAAGATATTTTGTGAGAGGGATTCTTGCAACTTTAATTTAAAGTTGTGAATTAATATTAATTTAAAATGTCTAATTACTATTTAACTAATAAAAATTTAGCCTTCAAAATTTGTGAATTATATTTCTTAATAATTAATATTTAAATAAAAGTAATAATTTAAATTACCTAATAATCAACATTTAACTACTAATAAATTATGAGAAATATTTTAGCTTTCAAAAGTTATATATATATATATATATAGTGTGTGTGTGTGTGTGTGGAGAGAGAGAGAGAGAGGTAGCAAAAATAACATTAAACAAGGAATATGTTTATCAGTGAGTGTATATTGAGAAATAATTTTATAATTGGAACCATATTAGTAAAAAATGCCACCAAGATGAGTTACAGTTGATCAATGGAAAAGAAAATAAGAAAATGATATTTTTTTGTTATTATATTTTTCATGATTTTTCTTTTATTATATAGCCATATATTAGTTACATGAATTATTGTTTTATAAATCCCCGATTTATGCTGAAGCTACACAATATGCCAAACAAGGCCTAATATATAGTACAAATTTATCATCTTAATAATGCAGATTCCGGGACCACGTGAAACACGCGAGAGTCCTAAAATAAAATAAAATCATCCACTCAGATGAGACATACGATTCCATTTTCAAAATTGAATAATGATTGAAAAAGGTCCCAATCACTGTTGCCGATAATACAATAAATATTAAAATATGCATGCTGTGGCACCAATTTTGAAGCTAAATGATTTTGAGGTCTTCCAAGTGATTGTAACTGGATTTTGATATGAAGATGAATTTTTAAAATGAAAGAAAATTAGAAGCACAAAAAACGAGCATTATAATTGTTGAAAGAATATAGTGACATAAATCCGCGAAAACAATAGCATTTGAATGGATGTTGGTTTGTTCTTAAATTTAATCCCATGTCTGGTATCCAAATACTCGTACGCTGGGCTTGCAAATATCTACCAGAATCAGAAGAGAGGTTATTAATTAGGCCAGTTATACAATTTAAATTAAAAAATCAGTAGCAGCAAAATTCCAGTTTAGAAGTTACTGCATGCAATGCAATGACTGATTGAAGAAAGTCTGCAATATTGGCCATGCCCAGTATTGAAGATCCATTAGCGCTGTATTCATTGGGAAGTTTAATATGCCACTATATATATACACTATGTGATACTCCATGTCGCTACACTTGAACTAATGGATATAATGACACTATCAATTCCAAGAGGGAGCTAGAGATAAAATAGTCAAATTTTAAAAGTAAATTTTGTGGTACACTTAAAAATTTTTAGAGTATTGTAATTAAAAAGTTATAATCAATAATACTTGTTTAAATAATAAATTTATTTAATAAAAACTATTATATTTAAATAAGTTAAAAAGCAGTTAAATCTTTAAATAAAACTAGGACACAATTAAAATTAAATGAACAAAAATTTAAAAATAAAATAATAATATTATATTAATATATTTTTTATATTTTTAATTTTATTATTATTAATATTTAATTATTATATTAATATATTATGTTATAATTTTTTTATAATAAATAAAAATTATATTTTATTTAAAATTAAAAAATTTATATATGTATTTAAATAATAAATTTATTTAATAATAAATTATTATATTTATTTATAATAAATTATGTTCATTTCGCTTGAGCCATCACTTGTGTATACGAATTGTCAATATTTAATTGGATAAGAATTAACTTGTCTTTTCTGAACAAGAAGCAAAATAAGCAGCATTATATAGATAGATATCTTCTTCAATCTTCCAGAAACGTGGATCTTTAGCGAATCACGTGAGGTGACACGTGCCGTGTAGCAATTTCATGCATGCATGCATGCACCTCTGTTACGTGTCCACGAAAAGAAGCCAATGATAAATCATCAAGCTCGTCATAACCTCACCACTCACACGTCAGCATTACACGTGGCAAATATGCAAATAGGAACCAGCAGTCCACAGTAACAATTGGACGCGTGGCACCCAGGAATATTCTCACATGTCCATTCTTCCTCCTGTATAAATCACCCCCCGTGAAAATTAAAGCCATAGCTTGAACCTTCGACGTTGAAGTATTCATTTCCAAGGAAAAAAATTATTAAAAGGAAGAGCAAAACACCTGTTTGTTTCCCGGGAAGGTGACAGAAAATGGCTACTACAGAGGAACCAATTCTCTCTAGATAGACCGTTTGGATAACATGGTAAGTGTCCCACTTTTAGTGGCTTTTATTTTTCTTAGATTTATTTTCATGTAATTAATATGTACTGACATGAAGAATCTTCTTTTCTGTTGTGAGTTAAAAAGAGTGAGTTTTAAATTTGTCCAACGCTTAAAGTCACTTCTTAACTCACAAGCGAGCTAAAGGATAGCAAAGGGCGATTCAGAAAAAATGTTGAAACAGTTTTTCTTGATTGTATGAACTGTGGATCGATAATTACGGAGTTCTTTTAATGGACTATAAAAATAACAACTTTTTTATGTTTAATATGAAATTGAAAATTGTGGTTGCTTTTCATATTATTATATTAAAAAAAATGCTTCAGTTGAGGCACCTGGAGGAAATTAGAGGGTACAATCAATCTCCAAAGAGCTCGTCTGCATCCACTCCAACAAGCGGAAGTGATGGACACGTGTCATCTGTTGATTTCTCCCCGAAGAGCTTGGAGAAGCACTGCCGTCCGATCGAGAACGTGATGATGGAAACTGAAGTCAAAGGTACGATGATAGAGAGACTCAACCAAGTGGAAGATCGCATGCTAAAGGTATGACACGTGGACAATTTTGACCGTTTGATCTTGGCATGAATTGAGGTTCATGATAATTTGGTAGGGTGTGATCTATCTGTATACTGTATGAAAGCTTTGTTTGCAGCTTGAAGAAGAGTGGGCAGCAGAGACGAAGAGAGAAGAAAAGAAGAAAATGAACAGTCCAAAGAAGGGTTTGAAACAGTTTGTGAAGCAATGTGTGAAAGCCAGGGGAAAACAACATGATAATAAAAAACCATCAATGAATAATAACCATTAATTGTAGCTGCTTCAATTGTGCTAATGCTTTAATATTAGTCTTTATAAATATCAAATTTTTTTAGTCTTTAAAATTGAATTTAAAGTTATCAAACGTAGGAATAGGAATTAAAATTGAATATATTTTTTTTATAGAGATCAATATTAAAAATAGTGACATTTTAGACATTAATTATTTACTTAAGTCTTAATTTAAATGTATATATTTTTTGGTCAAAACATTTATATTCATGCTCAAATGAGGGCACTTTTCAAGTTTTGGTTTCCGTTGGATTTTGATCCATTCTTTACAATAAGATGACTTCATTTTTAGTAATAGGATGATATTATGTTATTTTCAAACAGAAGCTTACATGTATAATATGTAGATAAATAACAAATTTAGTTTCGATGTAAGGTTGATAAAATATTATCAAAAGATATTATTATTCTTTTTAAAATGATAATATTTAACTCGCGAACAAGAGAATGGATGGCAAAAAAAAAGTGAATAAAAAAAAATGAAATAAGATAAAAAGGGTCAATAAAAAAAAATCTTAAGTCAAGTTTGCTTATTAAGATAAAATATAACCTAATGAGTATTAATATAATATGTGCATCTCAAGTTGCATGACTTTCTTGATCCGACACTGGATCAATATTTGAAACATTGATAATTTTTTATTTATTTAAAAGACATGAATCAAACTTGACTCAAGATACTTAGACTAAATTGAATTAAGAAATAAGGTAGAATTCTAAATATCTTCAACAACAATTGATTTAATTTTAATTAAATTACAGTTAAGTTAAAGATATTAAATATGTATTTTTAATATCATACTTTACGTGAAGTAATAAATTAACATATAATCATATAATATTAAGTTACATAAAACTGGCAATAACAAGTTCAGAGGAAGAGTTTGATTAAAGGAATCAGTCAAATAGCAAGGTTACATACAAACAAATTGTTCATAACTACCAACTTTACTTTAATTTTGGTAATTAGGTAAATCTTTATTGAAAAATAAAGTAACATAGTTTTAGATATATTCTTTTAAATATATTTTTTAATTATTTAAATTTATTAAAAGTTATAAAAATGATATGTATCTTATTATTAATTTATTTTAATAACTCATATTAATACTTTTATAATTTTAATAAATTTAAACGAATAATAGATTGTTTAAAAAGAATATTAAAGAGTGTATTCTAAAACTCTTCGATTCTTAT